GTTGCCAGCCTACCGTAGGGCACATATACACAGTCACACATCATGGGCATTTCGAAGGAAAGTAACTGGCTTAAAAACAGCTTCTGCCTGAACGGCAGGAGGAACTCGGAGTAGCCACCATAAACACTTACGACAGAGGGAGAATGGATCTGCCTCCACACAGGATGAGCAGAAGTGCAATTCAATCGGCCGACCCTGAAGGTGTGAGACGCCAGGGCCACCTACTGAGTCACTGTGTCACACCACAACCCCCCAAGGCAGATCTCAGGGTGATGCAATTTTAACTGATACAGTATCTGCACGTGACATACGCATCTTTGAAAATGCTGTGACTGGGAGGTACCAGGTTTTATGTACTTATTATGGATTTATTCACCCAGATCTGTGAGTTGTGATCTCTGATCTGTTAAGGGGTTGAAGTTGTGATTCTGTTCTTGGCAATGGCTCACAAATTGTAGCTGAATTTGTATGGAACACCCTACCCCTGGCATGTCACAGTGACACGTACTGTAACTGGCATCTTCCTCTTGGTATCGACATCGTGCCAACATTTTTAGGACATATCAACGTCAGAATTAAGCTAAAACTAAGAAAGAAATAAACATCACTATCACTTCAACTCTTCATCACTGTCTGTGGATGATAAGCAATTCTCAGTTAAATCCTCCCTCAAGTTCTCAAATGTTCTTAACCTCTATCACATGAGACCTCCCAATTCTAACGCTTGCTGCACAGCACACACCAAATAAAATCACATTTATTTAACAAACAGATATAGCAGAGATCAGCTATTTAAATTACTGGGTCACAGAAATCGCATCATGTGAGCACATTTGACGTATCTTGTCATTTAAAGGTGTTCATCTCAGGTGTGATGTATCCCACATGCAAAGGAGGCCATGCTGATTGGCAACCCCAGGGTAACACTCAGCTCTGAAGGTAACAGACAGCCGCTAATGAGGTGAGGTCACAGGTGGTCTGTTTATGGGAGCAGATGGGAGTGGAATCTGCAATGTCAACCCACGTCAACAGGACGAGAGCCAAATCCATCGTCATGCCACCCAACACAGCAATATAAGAAATGTCCTCCATACCTATGCAAATGAACAGTTGCACAAAAATACCTTTATTTCCAGTAACTGGAACAATGCTAAACATCTAACAACGTAAATGAGTTATAATCATCAAATTTCTCCTTCAAAACTCATATGCAAATATGACTGGCACACTGAAGTGCGAGATCTGTCTAGGCTGAGCTTGGGGTCAAAGATTATCTAAGGGTCACCGAACTGAATGAGGAAGCAATTAAGCAGATTCCTCAGGGATGAGGCTGAGATGCCTTACTATGAGAAGCAGTGACACTCGTACACTGCAGAGCAGGGATCAAATGCACAGAGACCCTTTACAGTCACTTCCCATAGAATACAAATCAAATTATGACTTTGAAATGTGATTACGGATGTGGACCTCCAAGATATCAGGAGGACATTTCTTCATGTGGATACTGGTTCATCTTCTCATTCACTCTTACTGCAATCAGTCATTCCAATGTTTAAGATCAAGCACTGGATTTTAGCTGGAAGCCAATTATGTGACAATTTTTACATTTTTTGTTTCTAAAACAGGTATTTTGCTTGGCTGATGTTGTTCTGTTTTCCATCACGCGTCAATTGAACTGATGTATGAACATTTCTTAAGTCTTAGCAACAATTTAGATTGTTATGAACTAAGTCATATAATGATATGAAAGCTACAGCTGTTCACAGAAGATTAGTGCAGAATATTACAGTAAATCTTTTAATTCTCCACTGTGGTAAATGTGTTGCTGTTTTTGTGGATTTGACTAATATTGATTACGACAGCATGTCATGAAAAAAATCTTGGCTTTGTGAGGGATTGGTCTGTGTAAAATCAAAATCACACAAGACATGGCAGAAATATTGTTTCATCTGAAAAAGAAAATGTTTCGCATGTTTTATTTTAAGTTCACGCTCATTTTTTCTATTAAAAGATGTGAATGCCATTTTGATTGTAAAATACTACTTGCCAAATACCATGAGTTTTGATCAAACCATATGTTATTCTTTCTTCACTCACAGCCATCATTCATGCAAGTTTTAACAATCTCTCCAGATGAATACAGCAGCAGACAGAGAACAAACTAAATGCTGCACGTTTTTAGTGCCTTAGAACAAATCCTTCCAGCATCAAAGTCAATTGACAATGTTGCTTCCTTAGCCTAAAATGTTGTCAACTAAAACAATAACTTTGTAATATAACTTTATACATTATGTTAAAAAAACACATTATACAGTATGTTTTCTATTTGGCTGCATGTATTGTATATTTTGGTTAAATACAACAAGTATCACTAGAAGATGATGGAGAGAGAATGAACAGACATAACTTTTGAAAAAAGGAGTGTTTAATTACGAAGTAAATCTGAATGCTTAACATCATGTGTACGTGCAAAAGTACCAAATTTATTAAACTGGAAAACCCATTAGGGTTACGAAAACAAATATTTAGGGGTCAGATTTCTGCGGTGTTAACTTACAAGGCAGCTGTGATATGCTTTGTTAATTAAACAATAATAATATCTTGTACTGTCACCAAATAAACCTCATTACAGACTTGATATTATGTTTCCGATAGGGATTAAAACAGACTTGGTCCAGTTGCTTGTCTAGCAGAACTTATTATTTCTGAGTCTTAATACAATAAATTAAAAAAATCTGTGCGTGTTCATCATAACCTCATGAGTTTCAAATGCCGAGAGCACCTCTGATTAGGAGCAGGATCGAGCAAAGAATCAACGAGATTAACTTTGCAGAAGAGTTTTCTCGAGTGACATGCCTGACCACAGCTGACTGGCCCAACTCGTTTCTCACTAATGATCAGACAGCTGTGGGACAGCAAGCTGTTAGACCTGTGGACTTGTACTGCGTGCAACATGCATCTCAATGTGGCTGGACATCAGCTAACATTACTGCCATTTTTAACTGATGTCTACTGATATCTGCTCAACCTCAAATACGCATATGCGGTAATATAGTCATTTGATGCGAAATGCATAATTGATAATACACTTGATGACTATATCGAGAATTTGTAAACGCGTTCTTCAACAGTACACACATTGGTTTTTTTCACGACTTATAGATATATTAGTTTGCTAATACTCTTTGATTTCTGCTTGCACACTTCTGTGTGTTGCCAGTTGCTATGGAATGATGGAGTCTGGTTGGCTGCTCAAGCTAGCAATATTTATACCTTTTGGTCGGTGCTATTACACTGCTAGAGAAGCAGAGGCAGGATATTGTCATCGAATCAAGCATTGAACTGTATAAATTGCATAACTGACACCCCATAGAATCTGACATGCTCCTGTGATATATACTGTATACAGATATGTAGCCTATTCATTTCATCTATAATTATGCTCGGATAATTATACAGGCACATGTCCTATTACAGGGGGTTTCAACCCATTAACTAATCTGATTATTGATACAGAATTGCAGACATTTCCAAAGGCAATTCTAAAATGACATTTTCTTTATGGTCCAGAATGTCTTTTCTTTACGGCACAGAGAATTCAATTCATTAGAATGTTTTTCAGTTTAACCGCAGTTTTGCTGGAGCTTATTACAAAAGTTGGTACGTATGTTGTGTTCAAGCACAATGGAATGTTTTTTTTTTATCTACTCTTTTAAGATAGATGCATGCTGAAATAATTAGCCAGCTGTCACAACAACAGGACACAGTATAATTATCTTAGCATAAAATTAAGCTTTATAAACCAAGTCACAATAAAAAGCCCGAGATATAATGGCGCCCCCATGTGGCTAGGTTTTCTGCCTGTCTTCAGTTGGCACATCACCAAGTACTCAGCATTGACAGGACTTGGGCCGCTGACTGTGAGGAATGAAATTGAGGTGGCAAAGAAAGACTCCCAAGGCAAATTACGACGGCTGCCACTAAAGGCAGAATCTAGGGACAAAACAAGGTTGGGTGATTAGGATCCAAGATGCAGAGCTAAACGCAAAGGTCGACAAATTGACAAAACCAAAAGTCAAACCTGGAAACCATTAAATCCAAATCATGGAACCAAGCCTGAGAATTAATACAGACTCAGAAAACTTGATAGGAAGCAAAGATCAAGACTAAGCAACCAGACTCCGACCAGGTAAATTTTTAATACAATGAGTGCAGGGATGGATGATTATGTATTAACATTACCTTCCGTCAGATGTGGCCATGAGGAATTATCATGCCTGAGACCAGCAGCTAGTGAACTCGTCTCTGAACCAGATTGTTTCTTAAATGAGCTCAAAGAAACATGACAATATCAGTTGGTAAATGTGGCTGTAATTATAGAAAAATCTATTGCATTTGACAAAGGATAACGGACACAAATCTTTTTCCCTATTTCTTGAATGTCACTGACATAAAACTCACAAATCAATTACAAGATGTATATTATTTTGTATGTTTGTCATGTAATTATATTAACGTTATTGACAAAATCATGTAAATCACAGGAGGCTCTAATAAATACTGCAGTATGTAATTAAGATCTCTTGCAAACAAAGGCCTACAATACCGGCAAAACAATATTCACCAAATCAAGTTTCACTGAATAAGAAATTACTTTATATCAAAGACTGTCATCTCAACGTCTGATACAAAGAAAATAAGGTGTTAATGAGAAGGGCGTTCTGATATTGATTGTTTACGTTCCTTCAAGGAACACTTGAAATTCCACTCAGAATACAAACAAGTACAATACTCTGTTCTGCATTCTCAACGGCTCCATGTGATTCTTGGTTAAAGACCAAAACAGATAAAAAGAGATAAACAGATATAGATGAAGCGATGGAGAAGGCTTCGACTTCACAAAAACGATTGCTGCAAGGAAATTTAACTTGACAGCTGCCAACTTTGAATGCCATCGATTGAGGGACAAAAACGTACAATGACAAACATAGAATACTTACTGTATTGACAATTCCTTCCCATGTATTCCCCAGGACACTCGCAGGAGTAGTTGGCAACCAAATCCGTACAAATCCCACCATTTTTACAAGGGCTTCTCTCGCACTCGTTCACATCTGAAAGGGACAAATAATTTTATACATTTATTAAGCGGCCAAGTGAATGATGACAGAATATGTTTTTCATTAGATTTTGCATGATAAGTGGAATGTTTAACATTATGGAAACAATTATTGTTAGGGACACAGTAAAAAGGAGATAAAGAAAGCTAGAATTTATTGTCAACTATCTATAAGCTGATGAGATACAAACTTTGCTAAGAAAACTAATTGAAATATATCTTATCAGTAAAAACTGTTCTCAAATTTCTTTTTACTGTTTGTTGTTTACACACTCAGACTAAGCCTGTACAGTACTTCTCTCATTTCAAGGCACACATACACAAACCTTTAACTGTCTTTTTGCTGTTGATAATTATGAGCCTCAGCTAGATGCAACAATGTGATGCATAAAGCCAAATAATGGATCACTCATTCCTGAAATAGCTGAAAAATGAAGCTGTGTCTTTGTTCCAAAATGCATAATTATATGATGATTATGCCGTTAAACTGAATTCCTAGTTATTGGCTGGAAAAAATGTTAAGTGTTTTACTGCCTGGGGAGTAAACTGTGCAAACATATGTTTCCTGAGTAGCAATTTTAACCTCCAAGAGCCGACGATTACCCCCTAGAACCAGAGTTTCACTGATGACATCATCTTAGCCTGCATTTGGAATATTTAATTGACCCAACATTGATGGATATGTCCAGATCATTCTCACCAATCACAGAACAGCACCTGATCCTCCACCATTTTTTAGACATCTGCATCTGCCTGTGTATTCTGTAATCGGTACAATTGTCCTAAAAAGCTCAGGTTGGATCTTAATGCCAAAGTAAACCTCTCTCATGCCCCTTCTGGTGACTTCTTCCCTGTCTTTGGCCATGTGCAATTACTGAGGTAACAACCCATATGCTGGCCAACTTCCTTGACTTACAAGATGACAAGATTATCTTGGTGAACTAACGATCCCCAGCTTCTAACACAGGGCTTGGAAATAGCCTGGACAAATGGTCTTTGCCACATTCTCTCCCCCTCTAAATATTTTCAAAATGTTCTGCCCAAAGGAACACACTTAATATGTATACACTGCACTGTAAGAGGAATGCAGACCATTCTTTTGGCCATAAGGCTCCGAATTCTACTTAATTTCCCTTCTTGACATTTTAATGCACGGTAATGAACAGCAATTCACAATGTGCAGTTACTAAGGCACCACTATGATTTTTTATGTTTAATTATGTAATACACCATCCATTGAAGTCATGTCCCATAAATGCAGGTCACACTGATGCAGAAGATCATGTCACAAAGGGCAAAGGGCAGGGGATATCCTGGATTGGGTTCCAGTCTACCGTAGGCACACTTATTGAATGTGCATGGTTTGATTTGTGTAATACTTGTGCTGCTACTGTAAACACAGTATAATGAATAATTCTGAATAATTCATTTATGTAGTACACTTTAATAACATAAGAGGCATACTATGCGGTATCATCTAAACTGTTATGCAAGTAAATTGTAGACCACGTTGTCTACACCAGGGCTGTTCAAACTTCTTTACACAGCGTGTAGTCAGAGTATGGAATAGTCTTCCTGATAACATAGTGCAAGCTGAATCCTTGGGTTCCTTTAAATCAGAGCTAGATAAGATTTTAACAACTCTGAGCTATTAGTTAAGTTCTCCCCAAGCGAGCTCGATGGGCCGAATGGCCTCCTCTCGTTTGTATAGTTCTTATGTTCTTATGTTCTTAAATCATGGTCCTCATGGTCCGAGCCCCATGGATTTTCCAGCCTTCCGTTACTTTAAATTTAGGGTCACTTTCAACTGGGTATGAAGCCTCTATGGCCAATCAGAATCAGTAATTATTAAACCAACTACCTGGGAGAATTGAAAACAAGGCCTGGATTTGGATTCGAGGTCCAGATTTGAAGATCCCAGGTCTACACAATTGTTCTTAAAGATAACTCCTCAGACAAAGAATGGGCAATATTCTTATCAGTTAAACAGAATTCATTTTTGCACACAATGAAATGGGAAAACAAGCATAAAACTGAAGGCATGAATGTATACATAGAAACTAGAATGAGACGTCTTGCTGTTTTATTGGATTATTAAGGATTATCAAAAATTTCAATCCAGTCTGAAAATGAGCAGGCCACCTGTTCTATGGTACATGTAGGTTTCTTACTTCAAATTCCCTCCCCAACAATATATGTATGTTCGCTTTAAAAATGCTGCAGGGTCTTAAGATAAAATGTGTGAATTTCCTAGGATCCTACCTGCTTGGAATTCCACATTAGGGCGGGAAAGGGAATAAGCTGCCTAAGATAGGAATATTAAAGGAAATAAGGCAGAGCTCTCTAATGAGTTTCTCAAGATGAAGGGCAGAGTTGTGAATCCCCCGAAATTTGCCATCCCTAAAAGTACCACTGTAATTCAGGAACGCCCTAAAAACAACAAGAACGTCCTTGTTACACACACTATGAACATTGATGCATCTCTGACCACAAAATAAGAAAGGAAGCTACAAATTATCTAGGAATAGGACATTAAAGGCCAGACATTGTGTGACTGCCTTTGGTGATTTTCCATAACATACATACATATATACACTACATGAGCAAAAGTATTGGGCTACACCATCACTGAATTCAGGTGTTTCATTCAGACCCATTGCCATAGGTCTATAATATGAAGCATCTAGCCATGCAGTCAGGTTTACAGACATGTGGGAAAGAACGTGTCGTTCTGAAGAGCTCAGAGAAGTGTGGTACTGTAGGTGGTAGGATGCCACCTTCGCAATGTCAGTTCGTGAAATTTCTACCCTGCTAGATATTCTACGGTCAACTGTAAGCAGAATTACTGCAAAGAGGAAGCGACCACAAAATGCCAGAAACATGTAAAGTAACAGAGCGGGTTGCTGAGCACTGAGGAGCATAGTGCGTAAAAGTTGCCAACACTCTGTTGACTCAAAAACTGCAGCGTTCCAAACTTTCTCTGGCATTAACCACAGCACAAAAACTGTGTGCCGGGAGCTTCGTGGAATGGGCTTCCATGGCTGAGCAGCTGCATACAAGCCTCACATCACCAAGCTCGATGCCAAGCGTCAGATGGAGTGGTGTAAAGCACACTGCCACTGGACGATGGAGCAGTGGAAACGTGTTCTGTGGAGTGAGGAATCACGCTTCTCTGTCTGTCAGTCTGATGGACGAGTGTGGCTTTGGTGGATGCCAGGAAAACGTTACCTGCCTGCACTGTGCCAAATGTAAATTTTGGTGGAGGAGGGATAATGGTATGGGGTTGTTTTTCAGGGGTTGGGCTAGGACCCTTAGTTTTAGAGAAGGGAAGTCTTAATGCTTCAGGATACCAAGATATTTTGGACAATTCTATGCTTCCAAATTTTTGGGAATAGTTTGGGGAAGGCCCTTTTCCATGATGGCATGACTGTGCCCCAGTCCACAAAATCCATAAAGACATAAAGACATGGTTGGGTGAGTTTGGTGAGCTCTGACCTCAACCCCATCACACACCTTTGGGATAAACTAGAACGGAGATTGTGAGCCAGGCCTTTGCATCCAACATCAGAGTCTGACCTCACAAATGTACTTCTTGGTGAATGGGCAAGAATTCCCACAGACACCCTGCATAAACTTGTAGAAAACCTCCCCAGAAGAGTGGCAGCTGTTATGGCTGTAAAGGGGGGGCAGATCCATATTGATGCCTATGGATTTAGAATGGGATGTCATAAAATTCCTGTAGGTGTAACAATGCTTTTGTCCATACAAAGTGTATTGGTGCAATGGTAGCAATTTGCATTGAAGTTGAATATTTCTTGAAAATTTCAGTTCCTGCATGGACAGGACAGACCAGATATTTCGGCCCCCTACAAGTGTCAGTGGTCAGACTGGTTCTCCACCGTGATCATTCCACCAGGACTGCACCGACCAAATGCAAAAAAAAGCAAAAATATCTGCTAAGACCACACACATCATCCCATCACATCAGTGTTAATGGAAGCAAAGTAAATATATTTTTTATACATTTGGCTTCCCCAAATGTTTCTGCAATTACCTGAATCTGCATACCTGAAGTTGATCATTGTATTAAATAGTAGGATAGTATCACAATATTGTGAATGTTACAGTAGTATTTGTTTACATAATGTTTAGTCACTTCCGTTCATTTTGTGATGCTGTCTGGTTATGAATGCACTTTGACTAAGACAAAGATGTTGGGACAAGTAGAGGAGAAATTAAATTATAGGTCAGCCTTGGGCTTGTTTGAAGCTGAACCTGCCTTTCTTGTTTTCTCTCCTCAGTTGATTTCTAGCTGTTTTCAGATCACAAAGCACAAAATGATATTGCCTGAATCTTTGATGTTATGAAATGTTTGTTTACATTTTGCTGGTTGTTACCAAATTCACTTTGCTTTGTGGGCACGATATTGGGAAGGATGGAGGGAGCAATGGATAACAGACAGACAGACAGACAGATAGATGAGTCCTTGTAAATTTCCTTTTTTTCTTATGCATTATTATGTTTTTTTCCTGTAATTTCCATATTCCATCTATCCATTTTCTAACAGCGTATCCAATTTAGGGTCACAGAATCCATATCGGGTAGCACAGGGCACAAGGCTGGGATGACAAAAAATCCATGCAATTGTTTTATGAATAAATGATTTACTATATCCATCCATCCACACATCCATCCATCTTCCGTGCACTTGAGTGGTGCAGAGTGACATGGAGATGGCAGCCTGTCCCTGAAAAGCACAGCCCATGGAATAGTTACGCATCATGCAGGTGGTAGGTTACTCAGAGGCCTGGAGGCACCGCCTCTGACTGTGTGCGCTTCACATGTCCTGCCATGTGTGCTGGGGTTCTTCCTCTGGGTGCTCCAGTCCCAACCCCAAAGTAGCAAAACATAGAACCGAGGTGGGGACGACGCTGCGAATGTTCATGGTTAAGATCACGTGTGGAGTCTGACATCCCAGCCAAGGCGTCCCGCCTT